ATTGAGTACAAATGCCTTAATTGGTGATGATTTATGAACTTAACCATATGCATAATTGTGTATGGGCATTTACGATATCGGTTAGCAACTATGCGCATAATGCGCATATATGTGTGCGCATATATGCGCGCATAATGCGCATAGGCACATCTCTAGGCACAACGGCTCGGTGCACTCGATGCAATGTTTTTTTCTCTGAGTTGCGTTCGAAAGATCGTATAAGATAAGAGGGTGGGTTACTTTTTCTTAAGATTCATATTCGTGAACTCATTTTTGGGGGGTGCAGTATAACTTCGTGGGGGCAGTTTGAATATTGAAAGATACCTTTATTTTATTATTGTCAATAAGCTCAAAATTTATTTTAGTTCTTTATTACAGTCTGATGCACTCATTTTACTTAATGAATAACAAACACAAAATTAATATTTTGAGGAAGCAAAAGAAACCTATTCTAAATAGAAAAGGCATGTATAGTTCCGGAAATTTTCTTCGAAGTCTAACGTTTGAATTATCAAACATTGTTGAAAAACTCATAGGCCAGATTTTATATTTGGTGATTATACATAGCATAAAATCTTCGGAACTCGGAAAAATTCAACCACTACTGTAAAACGATCAAATTTTAAATTTCCTAATTTGGACATTCCGTCCAATCAATGTCAAAATAAGGTAAGGTATTGGGTGAGGGACAGACTATACGTAAAATTACCTTCCTGATATTTTTAATTAATATTCTAAGACAGATTTACTGTATGATCGGTTTTCTCTTTTTCATCTCTTTGAGTCGGATTTGATTTGCTGGGTCGATCAAAAACTAAAATCAGCCCCTTCTTCTTTTTAATCATTATAGCAAAAGGAAATTTTTTGGAGAAGGTGTCTAACAAATAATCTAACCTAAATGTAAACACACACGTTTAAAAAGCGGATATAAAATTTAAGAGCATATAGCATATAACTAAAATATGCTGATCTTAATCAAAACATGAGTTATGAACGCATTTGTCTTGTAGAAAAAGTTTTGAATTTTAAACATCTAAAGAAAAAAAATTCACAGCAACTATTATAGCATGAAACCGCAGGTATTGCTTTTTATTTATATTATCAAACTCAATCTAGGCCTGGATCTTCGAGAGATTTTACTACTGAATAATTTATCTAAATTTAATAGCATAAAATGTGCATGGCTCTGTAGGATAATATTGATCCAAAACATGTCTTCTAAAGATGACAAATGTAAATTTCATGTAAGCACGAAAAATCCCGTATACATAAACACAGGAAAATGGCACAGATTTGCCATTTCGTTCGTGTGATGCGGCGCCGTTTGCATATTGATGTATACGGAATTTGTTGTTTCCCATGCTTTACACGCATCATGCTGGACCATTCATGCTATTCCTTGTAATTTCACGCGTTTGCCTTTTTATAGGGAAAGGATTGAGGATGCTTCCAACATATATAATGAGCCTCCTCTAACTGATACATGCAGTGTTGCTGATTGCGTTTTTCTGGAGATTCTGTTGTGTGTAATCTAGAAGTGAAAACAAATACCTAATCGGTTCTTTCTAGAAAGAGTGTGTAATCCTGATGCTGCATCTTTAGTTTTCAATTTTAGCACAAACACAAATAAATTTAATGGAAATAGTAATTGAGATAAAGCATTGAAAGTGATAAAACTCAGATAAAGGGCGCAGCTGTGTAATTTTTTGAAGCTGCGCTTGAAAAAAACTTCCTAAATAAGATATTACGGTGGGTCAGTTTTTATGCATGAACTCATTTACATGAGTTCAAGATAAATCAATGATTTAAAAAATAGAAGCTTCAAGATATCAATCACTAATAGAATTGAGGACATTAGAAGGTGACTCTCTAAAATTCAGTTTTTGTTTTTCTAATGTATAGATGTAGAGGAACTGACCGATTTGAATGTGAGTATGTATAGGATTACTCATTTTGAATAGATAAAAAGGAACAATTCTCATTTTTATATCCTGAATAAAAAATAGTCTACATACGTCCATAGTTTCGGTAATTTTCTCCGAGTCATGCAACAAATTGAAATTTCTCGTGTCTCGTCGTATTCATGGATGGTTGCTAATGTCGAATATTCACTGCAAACCTTACGGCGTCCAAGATTAAAAATAAAAATCAGACAGATTAATAAAAAGCCGGCCACGTGATTATCAAACCATATTTTCAAAAGGATATCTATACAAAAAGTGACGATATATATTGTAAGTCTAAAACTTATATATAAACACGTAATAAGAAAAAGAAAAAGCTAAAACGCATGATAACATGAAAGAACATAAAGTTTCTGGGAATTAGAAGAATTTTTTATATGGAACTTTATAAGGCAAATTAAGATCCTTCAAGTAACTTTGTGCTTTAATTTTATCATATAAATAATTTAAAAGGCATTTCACGCAGAGTTTGGAACATTTCTGTTTTAAAGGACCAGCGCCACGCACAGGTATGAAGTTTGTTGAATAATTAAGCTCGAATTGAGTAGAATATATTAATTCAAACTATAATAAATTTTCAATGAATCAGAACCATCCCCAAGTTACCATCTAATAATGATAATAAATGCAACAAGATGAGTTCAAAATTCAAGTGTTCAAAACAAAAGTTTTGAATAAATGAAATTAATCGTAAATTAGCTTTTTCTGAACAATTTTCCCGAAGTGTGTTGCAGTGACTGAATAATTAAACTTATCTCTATAGAATATATTAAATCTATAAAAATTTGAGGATCTTTCGATAATCAGATCCATCCAATCTAAAGAAAATTCACTTATGAAGGGAAAAAATTTCACTCGTCACCAGTAATTGGATTTGTCTCCATAAAATTTTCTGACCCAAAAATTGAGGAAGCTTCTGGCGGAAGATTTTGAAGACGTTGTAATGGGCAAACCAGATAGAGATGAATATTGTGAAGTGGTAAAATTCACACTGGAGTTTGAGGTCATCTATGATGGATTTAACTTCATAAAGATTCTAAATCAAAATATGAGGAATTTTCTGGCGTACCAGCCGCTGAAGATTGTGCAGGCATTAAAAATAGTCGATCCTGCTAGAAATGGGGATGTTGAGATCGCCGAATCGAAATAGCATCGTTGTGGTTTATTCCTAGAATGACGCGCGAATTTTTGTTTTTAAGTTTAATAGAAATCAAATTTAAAAAAATTTATAATTTTTTAAAAAACAAAGCAAAGACTCACACGTTAGTTGGCGTTTGCTCTTTAACACTTTTTAATTTTCCATAGAATGGAGAAAATACACGAGAGATTATATCTCCATGCTTTTTCCTTATATGTGAGCTTAGTTGTGATATAAAACTTTGTTTATCCTTCTTAGCAAGTGCAAACAAAGGGCACGACTGCTCGGTGCAATGCAATTCTTTTTTTTAACATTGCATTTGAAAGACAACTTCTGAATATGAAAAAATAGTTGGCTAGTTTCGTTTTACCATTATTATTAAACATTTTATCAAAGAACACATCTGTGTGAGGTTCTAAGATAATTTCATGCTCGCATCCATCCGAATATTTAAAAGATATACGCATCGAACCATCGTTATTAAGATCAAACAAAATAGGTGTTGGCTTTGCAAATTTTTTTTGGTTTTTTATTACCATCCGGCGTACTCATTTTACTATAAGAAAGGTCAAAAAGCAAAAACGATAAGATAAAAAAGGACGACGTACTTATAATTTTTAAGTTTGATGATTTTCGCCAGAACCACGTGTATACATACACACAAGGAACCCTTATCGGTATTAACGTTAACACAATTAATATAAAACTCGGAGTATCTATGAAAAAGAATCCGACAACGTTACAGTAAATTTCATTCATCCAATAAAATTCAAGAAAGTTTCCGTTAAACAAGGATCACATAAATATTCACTTGAACTAACTTAACTTTCACGATAAGAGTAAAGCGCATCACATGTATTTGCAGTAAATACAAACGAATGTTTAATCTTCATTATAAAAGAAATAACATGATAAAGTTTAGAAAATTTATTATTTCAAAGATAATAAGATATGCAAGCAACAAGTAATATACATTGAATTTCTATCAGGATTGCAAAAAATAAAAGGATAAATTGATTCAAATCAAAATCTTGATAATGACAAGTGTTCTTAATACTATTATTTGATATTTTGTAGGTCTTGGATTGCATCAAGAAATTTGCTTGGACTAATCCAATTGAAACTCTGCTTAGTAAGCCTAATATTTTTTTTTTAATAGATAAATAAAAAATTAACCAAAAATGCTAATTATTTATGATTTTACAAATTACTCGTATCCTAACAAACTTTTGCAGCAACGAATTAAGATAATTAATAAATTGGCGTTTTTAAATTCATCGTATAAGTATATTAAAACTTTTTTGATGATTATCCACCACAAAATTTGGAGGAGTCACTGAATTGAAATTCGTGCACAGGTCCGAAATTGTTTCAACAACTGAATAATCAAGCTTAACTCCGTAGAATATAATGATTCAAAATATAAAAAGTTTGTGGATTTCGATGAATCAGATCCATGCTAAGTTACAATCTAATGTCGCATGCCGGGAAGTTAATAATTTTGAAGTGGTAAAATTTATGCTTGGATTTGATATCATCTCTGATGACTGAGTAATTGTGCTTGGTTCCGTAGAATACACTAAACTAAAATATGTTGGTGTTTCTTGCGAACCAGCCATAAATGGATACTGTGAAATTGTAGAAAT